CTCTGGTAACAATCTGACATTTGAGCAAACCATGTGGTGTGGGTGTCTGGAGGAAGAGTGTTCAAAGCTGGGGAAACAGTAAGTGCTGGTGTGTTTTAGAAAGAGCCGGAGGTGGTGAGACAAGTGGAAGGAGGGAAGAAACAATAGGAGACATGTTGAGAGAGGGCCAGATTATATAGAACCTTGAAGACTGTTTTTACTCTAAAGAAGATGTGAGCCCTCTGGAAACAATAGAGGAACTAATGCCCAGACTGTCTGGATTTGAATCCCACCTTTGCCACTTACCAGCCGTGTGACCTTGAGCACAATACTTAACCTTTCTGGCCTCAGTTGCCTCCTCTGTAAATAGGGATGATAATTGTAACTTTATAGGGTTGTGATGATAAAATGACTTACTGTAACTTAAGCACTTTGTACAGTGCCTGGTGGCTAATAAACCTTATATATGTGTTAACTGACTGGTTGGCCACTGGAAGGCTCACTCTGCGCTTAGAGAAATTACTATAGCAGGCTCAGGGCTGGGAGCAGGGATGGCATTGAGGGGATTATCTGTGTAATGCAGGCTAGACATAATAGTGGCTTGGAGCAGGGCAGAGCATTGGAGGTGGTGAGAAATGGTCTGATTATAGATCTATTTGGAGCGTAGAATCAACGAGATCAACTGTCGAACCAGATATGAAGTGTGAGAAGAAGAGGAGAGTCAAGGAGGACTCCAGGAATTTTGCTCTCAGCAAATTGTCATTTACCAAAATGGAGGAAGACTATGTGTGAAGCAAATTTTTTTTGAAAATTAGGAATTCCGATTTTAGGCATGTAAGGTTTGATGTGTCCCTTGGTCATCTAAGTGGCATTGACTAGGCAGATGTTTTCTTTGTTATAGAGCAAAGCAGGCATCAGAGGGAGTCCAAACTAAAGGGAAAGTAGACCTCCCCAGAGAAAGGGATCACCAAATACAGGAGAGAAGCCCGCAAGCAGTTAGCCATTGCAATTACAGTTTGAAGGAATAGAACCTAACGTTAAATAAAACTGAATGACCAGCGACTGGAAATCTATTGCCTGAGCTTCACAGAAAGGAATTTATAATGAATAAAAAAGTGAAATAGCGCAAATTGATTTCTTTAAGAGCCATCGCAAAATCCTAAATCTTCTTAAAGATTAGATGAGGTTAGATGAGCATCTCCCCAATCCTGCCTCTCTGAATCCCATGACTATCTAACTAACATTCTTCTACGTCCTGATTTATTGTCATAAAAATAAAGCGGTTATTATTAAGCAGTAAGATAAGAACTTGTACTGTATACTTTAATATACAGCATATTAAATACAATTTTAAGGGATTGGTAACTGCACTGCTTTGTTTAATTGATTTAGATGTACTTTAGAAAACTTTTAAATAATGATATCTGACAAGGAAGGTTATAGTTGATTAAATTGCTGCTTATAACAGTTTCGGTATAAAGTTGGGCATTGGTCTTTGATTAAGGCCATTGTTATATTTTAATTTTGCATATGTTAACTTTGCCTTTTTTATTTCAAGCACTTTGAAAACAGTGTCTACTTCTTATATTTTATGTTTTCCATATTCAAGGCTTCTGATTTTGATGACTTATGATTGCTGATTGCTTGCAATTTTAAGAAGACTCAAACATTGGTCTATTATTTAAACTCCACAATCAACTCTTCTTATAAAGGCATCTCCTAATCAAAAATCTCATGGGATTGAGTTAATTTTGTTATTAGACATTTAATTCTTGGGTTTGCTTGACTTGTTGTATAAACTTGGTTTTCTTGCTTTTGTCTTTCTCATCACATTCTAAAGTTAATTTCAGTTGAAACCCTCTTTTTACTCCCTTCCTGAACACTTAAAAAAAGAAGGGGTGGGAGCTTTCAGCTGGAAAGTTTTCATGCTTAATTTTATCTCAAAACACTTATCTTCTTGAAAGTTTTGCAAAACACATTTAGCAATAGGTATATTTTACAGAGGGAATAAAGTTTCCATTTAAAAAAAATTTTTTTAATGTTTATTTCTGATGCAGAGAGCATGAGTGGGGGAGGGGCAGAGAGAAAGGGAGACACAGAATCAGAAGCAGGCTCCAGGCTCGGAGCTGTCAGCACAGAGCCTGACGCGGGGCTCAAACTCACAAACCTTGACATTATGACCTGAGCCGAAGTTGGTCGCTCAACTGACTGAGCCACCCAGGCACCCATAAGATTTCCATTTTTAAGCAATTAAGTTTTGTGCATAGACAATAGTTGAATTGATGAAAGTGGAAAAATATGAAAGTGGTGAGTTCTACAAATCAGCTCATACACTCATAAATTAATTTTTACATATCTCTCCATAAAACAAACTTTCTTATTGATAGATCTAGAGCCTTGTTGCCCTGGAGTTTGGACTTTCATTTTATGATAAAAAAAATTTAGTGTTTGAGTTTAGGATATAGAAGGTTATATAGAAAACAATTTAACAGAGATCATTTAGGGACAGATGAAATAATGGATGTTTATGTAATTTTCTTGACAATATATTTAGATTTTTCTGTAAATAGCAGAGGGAATAATACAAATTTCACTTTTGAGTAAAAGGAACAAAGCAATTTGTATAAGTACCATATCTCATTTCCTAATATTCTTGGTCTTTTGCAATGAGAAGTTGTAGAAAATGTATGTAGTGTCAGCTACTGTCCTTTCAGGATGGAATGGAAGGTGATTGGCCACCTTAGAAGGCTTCAGTGAAATAATAGCCCATCTATTCCTGATTTCCGGGCCCTGTTATTTACATGAAACAATTAGCCTATAGAAATTAAGGTTGATGGAAATTTTTATAGTGTTTTAAACACTAGTCAGTACTTTGATATTCAGTTTGAATACTTGGTTATTAAAAATTACTTGTTCACATCCATTAGGATTGGTATTATAAAGAAAAAAATAAATGTTGGCAGGGTTGTGGAAAAACTGGAACCCTATGAATTGTTGGTGTGAACGTAAAATGGTGCTGCTGCTTTGGAAAATGGTGTGGTGAGCCATCAAAAAATTAAACACAGAATTACCATATGATCTAACAATTCTGCTTCTGGGTATATACGCCAAAAAATTGAAAGCAGGGACTCAGATATTTGTGCACCCATGTTCACAGTGGCATCAATTACAGTAGCCAAAAGTGGAGTCAACCCTGTATCCACTGATGGATGAAAGGATAAAGAAAATACAGTATATACATACAATGGGATATTATTCATCCTGAAAAAAGAAAGGAAATTCTGGCTCATTTAACAACGTGGATGAAACCTGAAGACATTATGCTAGGTGAAATAAGCCAGATAAAAGGACAAATATTGTATGATCCCACTTAAATGAGGTTCCTAGAGTGGTCAAATTGATAGAGAGTAGAATGGTGGAATGGTGGTTGTCAGGGGCTGTGGAGAAAGGGACTTGGGGAGTTAGTATTCAATAGGCAGAGTTTAGTTGGAGAAGATGAAAAGAATTCTGAAGATGGAGAGTGGTGATGGCTGCCCAACAATGTGAATGTACTTAATGCCACAGAACTGTGCACTTACAAATGATTAAAATGGTAAATTTTATGTATATTTAACCACAATAAAAAACAGTTACTCGTAAAATAAAACCTACTCCCCTTGACATTCAAAACCCTTCCAACTTTATCTTCTTTCCTTCATGTCCCTGGGATGTGAAGATGTTTTCCTGCTGTTTTTCATAACCACCTCACCCTTCTCCTGCTCGTTTACACCTGGAATGCCCCTCATGTCACTTCCTCCTCCTACCTGCCCTTCCAGGTTCTCCTCAATGACATCTTCTCCATTAAGCTTTTCTCTCCAACTGGAGAGAATCTCTTCAGTAGGTAGCACTCTGTGTGTGTGAATACCTAACATCAAAACAGTCAGTTGGGTGAATATAATTGATCATCAACTATTCTCCCCACTATACTGTTTTTAAAAATATTTATTTCGTAGCAGGCATAAGTCTTCACTTCAAAACTGGTTGCTTCTATAACATTTAAATGGTGCCTTATGTATCTTAATATTGTTAGCTTTACCTATTTTTTGCAAAGGGTCATACTTAAGTGTCACAATAAATTTATCATTCATATTTTTGTTTTTTACAAAAGGAGCATCAAGGAGGTGAGTCTTTGAATTAATAAACCTACATGGAGCCTTGAATCCTGCCCCAGCCTCTGGCTGTGACTCCTTAAGATCTTTGAATGCACTATTTAACTTCCCTCATCCTGAGATTTTCTCTCTATGAAATCAGAATCTTCCTTATACTATGAGTATAAGCTATAGCATCATCAGACAGTGTTTAGGGTACTATTTAAGACATTAGAAAGTGACAGATATTTCCGTTGTGATCCTGGCATCATTTATAGCTGTTTAACTTCGTATAAGTCACTTAATTTTCTTAATTCTCAGTTTTCACACTTTCAAATGAGGATAACAGCCACAATAAGCTTATAGACCTGTGTGACAAATGGTAATTTTGTAAACACAACATGATATTAAAAAGTAAAAGAAAGAAAGTTATAATCATTAAAGCATGGCTCCATCCACCTAGTACAGATAGTACTTGTGCCTTAAATAATAAAGGGATAAAACAGAGGCAGCAGAGTACTGTGAGTGGTGTGAATAGTGAGTATTGGAAAGGTTAAAAAAATCATAAAGGTCAAATAAAATTATCTCATGAAATCCTCTCCTGATTGAGTTCTTTGGGAGTGGCCTATGTCAGTTTCTAATCCCAATTTGATAACTCACCTGATAGGTTTTAAAAAAAATTTTTTAATGTTTATTTATTTTTGAGAGAGACAGAGACAGAGTGTGAACAGGGGAGGGGCAGAAAGAGGGAGACACAGAATCCAAAACAGGCTCCAGGCTCTGAGCTGTCAGCACCGAGCCCGACGCGGGGTTCAAACTCACAAGCCATGAGATCATGACCTGAGCCAAAGTTGGACACTTAACCAACTGAGCCACCCAGGCGCCCCAACTCACCTGATATTTTTGTTCATCAGTAGATGTTTCTAGGATACCTCTTCCTCAATCAGATTGCCTAGGAAAATAATCAATTGAAAATGTTTACTGGGCATTATCTGTGCTTGGAGCTTGGCTGCAGGGACTACGAAATGAGTAAGATATTGTCTTTACCCCATGAATCTTCTAAGACATTTGGGAGAGACCAACATATAAAGAGACATGCCATAATATATGTGAAAGCAGAGAGGAGAGTGATTATCTCCCTGGGGAGGGCAGGGAAGGCTTCACAGAAGAAGCATCATTTGTATTAGGTCATAAAGGATGAGTGGACTTTGCCTGACAGATGACAGTGACAAGTCTTCCCAAGCAGAGAAAATAGCTTAAACAATAGAGTTAGAAAGGGAAATGTGTGTGTGTGTGTGTGTGTGTGTGTGTGTGTGTGTGTGTGTATGAGCATGTGCACGCACATGGGTACATATGTATATTTGTTCCAAAGTGAACAATGAATAATTTGAGGATTATCTGCTGTCTTTGGTCTATATCAGTACTTCTTTGTTCTTACTGTGGATAATTGAGAAACAACTCTAATGACATAGGAGCATTTAGAATAAGTTTTTATGCTTGGCATTCGTATTTTAGGTTTTCCCAGTCTTTCCCCGATGCTCATGGTCCAAGGGGCTCCTTGTAAGGAATTTTTTATTTGCTCTAGAATCCCCCAGTTCCACCTCCCACAAAGATAGTCTGGTCAGGATACTTTAGGGCCACCAACAGAATAGCAAGTTGCCAAAATAAATGTTTTCCATCAAGATTTCACACTTGAACTTAATGAAATAGACATTTTCCAAACTGTTTCTTTAGAGCTAAGTTTTTCTTTAAGATTTGTAATGAAAATATTTCATGACCTGTTGACATATTCATATGGTGATTTTCAAAAAGCAGATTTCGTTTACAAAATGGACTTGGCAACAAGTAGGAATATCTGGGAAGTTGAACAAGGCTGTTGACAGGGAAAATTAGGGCTGAATCATAACTGACATTGTTTTGCAGCTGTGCCATTTTTTAAGACTGACCAATGGGACAGGGCCTTATAGTAATAATGCTGAGATTGGCAGCTAATGACCATTCATAATGCAACTGCATGGGTAGAAGCCCACAAGTACAGAAAAACTCATTCATGTAACTGATTTTTCTTGGTAAATGCCAGGGGAGAAATTATTCCATTGAGAAGAAAGATAGTAAAGATGAAATTATGTAGCATTTTTTCAAATGAGCAGAATTAAAAATAAGAAAGATTTTTATATATTCTGTTCTATATTTTCTTTATCGTATCTGAGATACTCACTTAGCTCTTTCACTGGTTGAACTAATTGACTGAAAGATATCTAACTTAAATTTATAGTAGCAATGCAGTTTTGACTGGAATATATTTTGTGTTCAAACCAGTAGTTGAAGATTAACAAGGCATGTTCAAATTCAAATGATACAAGGCAGCATCTGAAATAATTCTAAAAATTAATCACTTTTAACTATTCTTTTAGAGTTTTGGAATTTTTATTAGCTCTATTCTCATGTTTCTAAGTTTCTCCTAATATCAGTAGGCTAACGGATGTAAGAATGATATAAATTTTGTCACTTAAGGTTCCCTACTGACAAATCCATAGCTAAAAATCTAACCAAATTCTTTAGATGCTATAAAGTTTGCAGTCATTCCTGGAAATAGTATCACAAGACCTTGTGAAGAGTGTGGATTTGAACTTTGGTCTTGGGAGACAAAGAAATTACTTTTCAGTGAGGAAGAGATCACAGAGGACTTCTTGGGGAAGGTGGTATTTGAATCAAGTTTTAAATAGGGAGCATGGGACTGGTGATGATGGGGTTCACTAGGGAGAGAAATACGGGAAGGTAATTGTGCAATGGGACAACTCCAAGAGGAAAGAGAAAGACATGTCATTTTTAGTTGTGTAGGGTATTTGGACAGGTAAGAAGGTCCTAGGTGGAATCCAGGTTTGGAAGTTGATATAGTATTTTATTTTGACATTTGGAAACATTAAGAGGGTAGTTTTTCATTGGATAACACAGCCAGAGTAGATTTCAGAAGTTAGAAACCGAGGCCAGGAAACCTATTTAATAGTTAGCAGTTTTGATTGCTTAGTAAATATCACTCACTGTAAAACAAAAGTTGGATGCATTTTTAAAATCCTTTAAAGAATTTATTTAGATTTTACAGATGAAGAAATTAAGGACTGTGGTCACTCAGTTGGTAGGTGACAGGCTGAGACCAGCCAGGTTTATGTGACTTCATCACTATTCTCTTGACCATGAAATATCCTACTGGTATGTGAGCTTCTTAGTTATGTGCTTGGTATTACAGTTCTCTGCTTGCTTACATCTTTCTTCCCCCATACACCCTTCACCTATGCATTTATTGCCCACCTGATTTTTTTTCCAGTTTTATTGAGATATACTGACAAATAGCATAGTGTAAGTTTAAGAGGTACTATATGGTGATTTGATACAGCTATATATTGTAAAATGTTACCATGATAAGGTTAGTTAACATTCCCATTGTCTCGCATAATTACTTTTGTGTGTGTGTGTGTGTGTGTGTGTGTGTGTGCGTGTGTGTGTGTGTGTGTGTGTGTCTGTTGAGAACATTTAAGATCCACTCTCTTAGCAAATTTCAAGTATATAGTACAGTATTGTTAACTGGAGTCACACTGCTGTATAGTATAGCCCCAGAATTTATTGATCTTATAACTGTAAATTTGTACTCTTTGACCAAAATCTCCCCATTTACTCCACCACCCAGCCTCTGACAACCACCATTCTACTATGTTTTTATAGTTCATCTTTTTTTAGGTTCCACATGAAGGAGATATCATACAGTGTTTGTCTTTCTCTGACTTATTTTACTCAGCATAATGCCATCTAGGTCCATCCATGTTGTCACCAATGGCAGAACTTTTTTCTTTTTATGGCTGAATAATACTCCATTGTCTATACATATACCACATTTTCTTTATCCATTCATCCTTGATGGACATTTAGGTTGTTTCATGTCTTGGCTATTTTGAATGATGCTGTAGTGAACATGAGAATGCTTTCTTCAGGAAAGTGAATTAGTTTCCTTCATGTATATACCCAGAAGTGGGATTGATAGATAATTTGGTAGTTCTATTTTTAATTGTTTGAGTAACTTCCATGTTGTTTTCCATACTAGTTGTACCAATTTACATTCCCACCAACTATGTACAAAGATTCCCTTTTTCTCCATATCCTTGCCAACACTTTTTTTTTCAGTTTCCACATCATTTATTTCTTCTCTAATCTTTATTATTTCTTTCCTTCTGCTGGCTTCAGGCTTTGTTATTCTTTTTCTAGCTCCTTTAGGTATAAGGTTAAGTTTTTTTTTCTTTTTTTCTTTCTTTCTTTCTTTCTTTCTTTTTTTTTTTTTTTTTTTTCTGTTTCTTAAGGTAAGCCTGTATTGCTGTATACTTCCCTCTTAGGACCACTTTTGCTGCATCCCAAAGTTTTGGACCATTGTATTTTTATTTTCACTTGTTTCCATGTATTTTTTAATTTCTTCTTTGATTTCCTGGTTGACTCATTCATTGTTTAATAGCATGTTGTTTAAACTCCATGAATTTGTGGTCTTTCCAATTGTTTTTAAAGTTTATTTATTTATTTTGAGAGAGAGAGAGAGAGAGAGAGAGAGAGCAAGGGAGGGGCAGAGAGAGAGAGGGGGAGAGAGAGAATCCCAAGCAGGTTGTGTGCATTGTCAGTACAGAGCCCAATGCAGGGCTCTAACACAACTGTGAGATCATGACCTGAGCCAAAATCAAGAGTTGGATACTTAACTGACTGAGCTACCCAGGTGCCCCAGTCTTCACAATTTTTTTTCTTGTGGTTGACTTCTAGTTTCATAGTGTTTTGGTCAGTAAAGAAGTGTGGTATGATTTTGCTCTTTTTCATTGTTAAGACCTGATTTGTGACTTAACATGTGATCTATTCTGATCTTCTCGATCTCATGTGCACTTGAAAAGAATGTGTATTCTGCTGTTGTAGGAGAGAAATGTTCTGAATATATCTGTTAAGTCCAT